ATCTGACCTGCTGTAAGGGTGGAATCTGTGTGAACCAGTGTTGGGTCCCATGTGATGATTGTTAAGTGATGTCGCTGTCGCTAAATGTTCTGTGTTATGGTTTTGGTTTCGAGACCCCACAGATGACAATCCAGCAGTAGTGGTTGGAGTATTGGGAGAATTCTTTCCTTGATCAGCTTGAAGCCCCTGGAAAGAAAAAAGGTGAAAATGAGTAAGTGAATCCAAGTGTTTGAATGGCTCATCAATAAACTGGCTGTTTTTCAACTGATTCCGGGCTTAACCTTTCAGTCTTTAGAGTGAGTAGTATCTAGTTTGTCCTTACAGTGCCAATGCGGAATCAAACATTTAGGTTGTGAGAATAAATGAAATGATTGCCAATTTACACTTAACTCCCATGACTGACCAAGAGAGAGTTTCTCCCTACAGTATCAATACAATATCAAACAAACAAGTGATGAGAATGAAAAATATCAATTACAGGATTACGCATTGATCCAACACCAAAGTTTTTTCAAACTAACTTCATAAAAATTGTACAGCAGACACTACTAAGATCTTGGGACTGAAAGGGTAAATGAGAGAGTAAATACCCCATGCCTGTGTAAATGTTAACAGTATTTCTCATTTGTACACACAGTTATATTGCCTGTAGGGTTCATTTCTTACGGAAAAAGTGAACTGCTCTGATGTTCCATATGAATAGGTTTCAAACAATAAGTACTTTGCTCTTAAAATTTTTTCATAATTTAGATTTACTAGTAATAGGATTTTCAGTCATCCAGTTCTGTCTGTAATCACTCTCAAGATTAAGTAATCAGTCTGCCATTTTGCAGTCATTCAATTTTTCCAATTTGGAATCCACCAATTTGGAATCTACTTGGTCTTCTTACCCCTGTAAATTGAGGTTTGGAGAGTTTTTTTTTTGTGAACAAATATTTAACACTAACCAAAAACAAAGTCAGACCATACTGATCACTGATGACAACTTTGAATTATCATCAAATACAACCCACAGCAGTAATAGGCAAACAACCATGCTGAGTCATCCCAATTCTGTCCCCCCACCCTCCCCCCTCCCCTTCTTTCAGTAACACACAAAGAGTGCTTTTAACTGAGTGAAGTCAAAACATAAGTTGGAGTAATCCCAACAGCCAATCAGAACAGAAGGAAAAATCACAAGTTGCCCAAAACGAATTGTAATAATAAAAACAAGTAACCCAGCTGAAACGCTATAAAACTAAAGTGCAAAAAAACTGAATAAAGGGGGTGAGTTTCTACAGAAACTGTGCTTTTGCATCTGTGCGGAAGGGAAGGGAAGGATAAAAAGACAATTTGGTTTTATCATCTAAGTTGATGATAAAAAACTGGCCTCTGCAAATAGTTTCTAAATACGACGTTTTAAGCCTTCACCCTTTATCAGAAAAAAAATGTAAAAAAAAAAATTTTTGCACTGAATTGATTGAGAGATTGGTACAACTTTTCATGAACAATTGCAGTGCAAACTAAAGCAAAAACAAAAAAAAAATGTAAGATTACATTTGACACCTAATTGAAAAGGGCTTTTAAGACATACCTGTTTATACTGCTGAAGAAATTCTGCATTAGGATCACTCATGTTTGGAAGCTCACAAAAAGTCATGCAGAAACTGTATGAAGACAACAAAAACAAGAATCAGTTGTGCCATAATGCCCCTGGATCATTACATTACCTTGAAATAGTGGCTCCAAGGATCATGCGAAAAAAGATTACTAAAGCAGAGAATATATTTCTCCCTTTGCCAGAAGCAGGTGGGAATAAGTGGGAGAATATTAAGTAAAAACAGGAGGATGGAAATTACTGCCAAAAACATGAGGCTTCTGTCCACAAACAGCTGGGTTTGAATATTTGTGTTCAAAATGAATTTTGAACAAGAGTTAGAAAATTGCGAAAAATGTCCTTATAAGTAACCTTTAACAACCAAGGCAGTCAATTTAACAGAGCTCTCAAGTTGATTTGTTGGTGAAGAGTGAGATTTATGAAGGCAAAGCCATTGATTGTGATGCCACAAACATCACCTTCCTGAAGGGCAGGGGAATGAGTGAATGAGGGCATGCTTTCCAGAAAAATTGTGAAAAAAATTAACTAGCTAAGACAGGCATTCCTTTATTCTGGGCAAGAATTTCCATTGTTGAAAAGTGTTTGAAGTGAGCACATATGGAAAAGAGTAAATAAAACAATATTTTGAAAGACATTTAATTCTATAGGTGCTTGACAAAGGCAGCAGTTTTTTTCCCTCAAATCAATGGTTAAAATCAGAAACCTTGCATACATGACAATAAAAGTTTGGTGTGAGAGTGTAAGACTGAACTTGTTTGCAAAAGTCTCGTGCTAAAAATGCAACTTGAGAGTCCTGACAACCTTATATAGCACTTAGTGATATTTTTTTTTCCAGTGATACACAATTGCACTTACTCTCCAACTTTCTCCAAGTGCCCCACCTTGCCTGTGTACAGAGTTAAGCTTCCTTTCCATAATGACGAATAACTAGAAAAAAAGGTCAATGAAAAAAAATTGTCAGTGACACAAAATCTTACATCGCTGTTTTGCCTAGTTTACTGTTTACCACCTTCTCATAACGTCTAGTTTGGATTGTATCAACCGTTGCCATTGAGGAAAGTCAAGCATTCAAACTCATGGTCATAAGATCGTTTATTTTGGTGTACTTGTGTAACTGCTTTGGAGCATTCCTTTTTTCAGTTTTGATTAATTCGAAGCAAGACCATTAAAATGAAGAACGTGAACAAGAATTTTTTTCACGAAGTGCTCTTTTTTTGAATAATACCATATAAAATAGTGCCCTCAGGCGTCAGGAAATTATTGTGGCTTAAAGCAGGAAGAGAAGTGACAGTTTTTAAGGAAGCAGTGGTTCCCATATTACCCTAAAATTTTTCAACAAAGATCATGACGCCTGGATAAATTATCCGTCATGTTTATAGTGGAAGCAAATTTCTGCAATATTACCTTCAACAAATAACACATTTTAAGAGAGTAAATCTTAGAGTGGGAAAAATTGAAATCTATCCCTCTATCACTCTCAGGCCAAGAATTATAAAATATTCCTTTACCAAAGGTCAGTTATTCTTGGGTTTTGATGTTTCCTGAATGTTCACAAAATCGTGCATTGTATGGCAGTGAATTCTGGGTCAAAGGCTCTTCAGAAGTCAGGTCGTAACACCCTCCCCTCCCCTGTAACAAAAGTCATTCTCTCACAAATTTCACTTTCCAACATAACATTGATATTTGTGGGAAAGGGGCTCGAAAGCGGAAAATTTCCCAGCCGAAAGCAAAGTTGTTCTTTACCTACACAATCAGTTGACCTCACAGAAACAGACAGTCGACATCTCCAATCGGCTAATTTATGCAAGATTTCGTTTGAACATGAAACCCTGACAAAATCGACAGGAATTTGAACGCCATTCGCGCTAAAGATCACACAACAAGGCGAATAGAGCCTATCTTACCCTCGAACAAACTTAATGATATCTCCTGGTTGTAGAATTTCTCCGACCTCGTCCCAAACAGACACCGTAATGGAGCCTGTTTTATCAGCTACTCGACATGCCCTTACAACGTGCGCATCCTTCGTTTTGGTGGCTTTCCCTACAAGAAACGGCCGTGAATTTAGCGATCAGATCAAACAGGGAGTGTGTGTGACTACGGGGAAGGCTTACCGACTTCCAAAACTATGAATAAACAGTGTAAGTTTTTTATGCCGGGCCGAATATCTTTGATGTCTGTGAAATGCCTTGTGTCATCCGCCATGGAAATTTTCTTGCTATTCCACTGTCTGTCGATCGAATCATCGATCAAGGTTTATAAAAGCACCTTGGTGACGTCATTGGCACGTGTCCAAATATATTGGTAAGGACTCCTGAATAAAGGATATTGGATTCAATCGATAAGCTCAGTGAAGACACTCGCCAATCCTGATAAAAATAAAAAAAATTAAAAGAAAAAAACCACTTTTGAAAATATATTCTCCTTAGGGCGACCATTTGAAACAGTTGAAATAAAATCATAATAAATTCATGCATAAATATCTTTTTGATATTCATATGAAGCCATCTGTTTAATGTCATTACAGCTTTCTTTCAGTGAAGGAAATTTATTTATAGTGAAGCAAATTCGCTTTCGAAAGTCACCTATCACAGAAGATGACGGCAAGGAATTCGAGTTTCCGGAAATCCAAATTTAGCTCTCAGAGAGATAAGAAGCACCATAAAAAAGAATTCACATTCAGAATAAAAAAATTACAATAATAATACGTCACAGAAAAGAAGGAAGCAGATTCCCAATATTTTGAACAGGATCCATTTTTTTAAAATATCAAAAATAACTGGATAGTGTTGTGTGTCCTTTAAATAGGTCTTTGAACGCAATCAGATTCAGTCTGGTGGATATATTAAAATGCAGAGCTATGCTCGAAGCAAGAACGGCAAAATTTACCTCGTTTTTCGCTTTGTCTTCATCGAACGCTTAGAAAATCGTATCGCAGGTCATCAGAAGTTATCTCTTAATAACAAGAAACGCAGAAATTTTCTCATCAGCGCGGAAAACAGTTAGAAGAGAGACAACAAACGAACAATTCACGCCTTCCACCTCAAGCGTAATTCTAAATCTGCCTTGTGTTTACATCGCACCTTTTAGTACTAACCTCTCCAGCTGTTATCCGTATGTCATATGTGCTTGGTATATTCTTGGGGAGGCCCCCCCTATGCGTCTCCCCCCCCCCAAAAAAAATCCCTACAACTCTCTTTAAGCGAAGTAAATTCTGAGAAAAGGTTGAGGGAGGAGGGGGAAGGGGAGAGTCCTCGCTTTTATCAGGTTTCCAAAAC